TTTATCGGTGTGTGCAGTGATGAAAGTGGCATTTGACCTTTTGTACCAGGTCCTGTAGCAGGCACAATAATGGCTTGGAGCAGCCTCTGGCGCTTTTGGAGCAGATGACAACATAAGCTAGCACATCATTTGAAAATGTAAAAGAAAAAAAATGATGGCATCTCTACATGAGTTTATCTGTGATAATGATTGACGGTTTCTATTTGATACTGGAGCATACTACTAATTAAATGTTGCGATACAAAAAAATATAGGACGCAAAAGAAATACGGAGCTTTCTTTTTAGAGATAGGGCTCTGGACACAGAAGATCCTGTTTACAATGGGCACTAAAGATATGGATGAAAAATTAGTCAGCGCAGCCCTTCAGTTGGGATAAAGCCTCTGCCCCCCTCCCTATTTTACATTAAGTAGTTTTTTTATCCTGTAAATATAATTTCTGTAAAATGTCAGCAAGGACCCGCATATTCGCTACACGTGTATCGATAGAAACGCGACCCCCGAGTTTTGTGAACCTGCCAAACTCAAGACTTTAATTTAATAAACCGCCAAAAAAAAAAAAGACCCACACATATTATGAGAACCACACCTGGGGTGTGGTTCTAAAGAAAATAGCAGCCTACGGGGTAGTTCAGCGAGAACTCTGTTCCGGGGCAGCACGACGTAGGTTAAAGGTTTTGTTCCCGTGAAGCTTGAAAATCAAGGAAAGCACCGAATCGGGGCTTATCGGCTTTCCCCGATTTTCGATAAAACCGGCTCGAGAGATAATTTTCAGGGTTTATCGGTTTATCTGTATTTACCGAAAACACGGAGCCCAACTTACAACCAGGGACGTCGGGAACCTGCGGAGGTTCAAGTTGAATCAAGTTCGTCTCTTTCAAACGTCTAATGCGAAGCTTGACAAAAGTTCGACTCAAGCTGATGAAAAGTTACGACGATGGATGGTGGCAGCTACCCGTCGTAATTCAAAGACGAAAGAGCCCGAGACTGCGCGCGTCCAGCCGTTCCAACTACGCAATAGCTGTCGGCCCCGAGGCATTTTCTAGTAAAGTATTTCACTATACTGCGGAGAAGAGCGCCTTTTCGGTGCGTCAAGAATTGTGGAAACATTTCGTGCTCGGTAAAACTTTATATTAGTAGAATGTAAAAAAAAATAATAATAATATTCGTGTTGTGTTCGGCCTGATTGTGTCCCGCACTGGTGTCGCTCTAAACGTGACAGTAGCAGACGTACTGCTCTCGACTGACTGCGCTTGCGTCCGCCCATGCGCAGAGCCGCAGTTCAGCCACTCACCCGGGTCGTAGCGACCGGGTCGTAGCAAACCGAGGGTGAAAAACCCCGATGACGGGATAAAAAAACAAAGAGACAGGGTGAAAAACCCGGGAAGGGAGAAATAATAATAATACTAAAAAAGGGGCAAACATCCGGGAAACGCGAGACCGGAAGTCAGGTAGAGCGCCGGAGAGTTACCTGTGTGAACGAGAGCGAACGGCTCTGCCACACCCCAGGAAGTTGCCGCAAAGTAACGACGAGGGCTCTTTTTTTCGGGGGGATTCCTGGCCGAGCGTGTCAACGCACCTCGGCTCGGAGCGCGCGAAGCGAAAGCTCGGCCTGCACAACCAAGGGGGTTCCATCCTCGCCCCTGGGCCCGTTTCGATCTGGATGAGTATCGCAGCGGCGTGCGGTCGTGCTTCACTACTGCCTGGTGCACCTTAAAAGCCCCAGGCGAGCGGTTTGCACTGCAATGGCGAAATTTCTCCCCGTGAGCTGAGAGACTGCGGCCAACTAACTTCCAGCTGTCTACTCAAACACGATACAATTATTAGTTTAATTTTTTTGTGTTCAACGTGGAACATTTTAAAAAAAGCCCAAAACGTGTCCAGGTACCGTTTTTTTTTATTCACTAGATAGAGCGCTTTCTTGTCTATAAAATTGCAAAATTCAAGAGCTAAAAATTAAAAAAAAAAACACAAAAACTATGTCACAATGATGGTTGTTATCTTCGAAATCTGCCTAAAATTCCGAGTCCCCGGTATGGAGAAGCCGCAGTGGGTTCGAAAAAGCCACCGCGGAGACAGACAGGCGTTACATGGATGGGTCTCATTTTTTCATACAACTCCACGGACTTGTCGAAAAGATGGACGATGGACCGATCTCACCAAGCGTTTGGCGCTTGCGCGAGGCAGCCGTAACTTTAGTTCATAGGAGGCATTCGGCAGTGCACGAGACTGTTCGTGCCCAGCACGCGCAGAGTTCCAGCGAGGTTGCCACACGCGCAGAAAGACTAAAGTTCCCTCGATGCATTGCGGCAGCGGTGGCGTAGTCAAACTGCCTGGTGAGATCGGTCTATTCGAAACCCTGTGCCTACTCGAGACCTAGGGGTCGTATTATTTTGAAACAATTGAAACACCACGTGTGGGCTGTTAAATCGACCTTTAAAAAGTTATGAAACATTTTCAAAACGCTTTGTTTTTAATTGTTTTATCACTTCTTTATTCCTTGCTGCGTGGATCAGAAGCGCTTGCGGCGGACCAGTTTGCTAGAGTGGAACGAATGTTCCCAGGCTAATGAGTAGTTTATTTAAGGACCGTTGTATAAGTCACCCCACAGGACGTTGGATCGCATACAAACTATTCGCCCTAAAAAGATTTTTTTTTTTTTTTTCTGAAGCCACGCCGGCTTTATTTTATAACTTTTCACAAAAAACCTGGGAAAAAGCATATACAGTCATGCCTCCATAATATGGACATCCCTAAATATCGTTCATAAAGTGACTTATCCGGAATAAGGAGACAAAAAATACACGTATTTTCCCAATTTGTCCCCGAGAATGGTGTCCACACAACGGGGTGTCCATATTAACGAGACATGACTGTATATAGTATGCTTCGGTCATTGAATTCATCTAACCTGGTATGCTGTCAAACACAAAGTCACCATGAACGCGCTTGAGTAAGCCGGAGGTCAGTAATTTTTGCGCGCGATCCCTGACGATCACTTACAAACTACGGCCGCTAAAACATAACATAACAAGTGGAAATTGTCCGCAGTAGAAGAACACCGGGAAAAAAGTACGATCAAGTAACCTCCTTGAGTACAAATATTATACATCGGGAACAAGGTTGCTTGACAAACAGCCAACCTGCTGAATGCCCGCTGTCAAGCTGGTCAAGCATTTAGAGTGGATCAAGGTTTCCCATTAGTGTGATATTTAGGGAGTGCTCGTATTTAGTGTTCGTAAATCAAGATTATTCATTTATTTTGATTCGACTTTTGACCGCTATGGAGCAAGGTCAGTTGTCGAGCTTCCTGGAACTTTTTCCGCCTTTTCGTGGCGCGGCCCCTCGGTGGCACTCGCTGCGCTGCCAACTTCGTCAGCTTCGAGTTTCTCAATGTCGCTTGCCGGGTGAGACTACATTGAGCCGCTTTATGTCAGCCTAGATGAACGAAACGACGGAACCGGTGGAACGCTGGACGCACATTGCCTGCGGTGGAAGCTGATTTTCTTGTTACGGCGCACGTAAAGCAGTGTTGTACACGTTCCTCAAAAAAAAAAAAAAAAAAAAAAAAGGACGAAAGCTCGTTTTTTGTTCTTTCTGATTTTTGGAACGCGTTCCCGTCACAAGTTGTATATGTGGAAAAGTAACTTGTTCCGGTTACTGTTAAAAAAAATGGAACGTATCGTATATTTAAACGTGGCATTTGTAATGTGCTAACTACCATAATTAGGTATATCAAGCAAAGTATTTTTATCTATCCCATCAAATGGCAACATAGAATTTGAATGCCGCGATGGAAGGACACCGGGAAGGAAACAACCGGAAGCAAGGTTCCCATTTGTTGATATATTCACCTTCAAATATTTCAGCGTTTCACCATATCTATGTTTGTAGCGGGCGATACAGACGAGCCAAATGTACAATGAACCCGGAAGGAAGAGAGGTTAATTAACCGCTCCTCCTTCCCGAATTAATTCCCGGGTTAATTTTAATATGTTGTTAAATAAAGGATTACCCCCCATTCCACGAGCGTTTAAAAACAACCTACCAGGTTTCAATATAAGAACTTTGTTTGAACTTAGCAACAGTTCCTTCTCAATGTTGTCCGCAATACGAGCAAGTGAAGAAACGGTAGTCCTTGTGAATGTCGGATTTGTTGTTCAATTTGAAAGTGGGGGAGAAGGGAAAAGAGAATAAAGGTTAACTTTTGTGTATCATTTAAGTGACCAATGTTCGAGCTACAAAGATGCGTTCGATGTCTAGTAACCTGCTTTTGTTCTTACTCTAGGTCTCTTTGTGGAAGTTCAGTGATAGCTGTATTCGGCCTTAAATTTCTGAGTGTATGAGGATTCGTGGAAGCAAAGAAAGTAGCTGAGTTCGTGAGTTCCCTCGTTGTGTATGTTTTGCTTCAACTAAAAGTTTTTCCTTTTTTGTGCCGCAATCTCAGGCACTAAAAAAAGAATCAATGTCCAGCAGCTCGCCTGCGGTGTCTTCGCTGGGTAACCCAGCGAAGACACCGCAGAATGAACCCTAAATTAAGTAACCAAAAGTTAGCAAGGTCCTGATCTAAAGTTATTGTTGTTTACTTTTTAGAGCTTCCCCCTAAAAAATATAAAAAATAAAATAAAAAATTACCTCACTAGACAAAAAAAAAAAAAAAAAGATGGAACGGTATTACTTCTGTTCCCATAAAAATGAAACGAGCTCCCGTCCCAGTTCCACCGATGCAAAATGGAACGGCGGCGTTCCTTCCTTCCTCCTAAAAGAAACGCGTTCCAGGAACGCCGTTCCGTACAAAAGGACGTAAAGTTTGCATCGACGTTTGCGCAAAATAGAGCGTCGTTAGGAAATGATCTCTCTTCGCTGCAGGTGGGCAACGAAGAAGGATCGTTGCCGAAAGACGCTCTTCCGTCGAGCTTATCGACCGCTAGATTTAGGAAGGCTGTCTTATCGGGTGCCTCCATCGTCGGTCAATAAGGGGGGGTTGTTGCTGCCACCCACCTCGATGAGGGTGACGACGAACACGAACAGGGGTGGCGGCCTGCACGTGTAGTGGTCGGCGTAGTACTTGCGGTCCCTGCCGTCCGGCAGGAACTCGGTGGCGATGGCCCGCACCATGGTGCGGAAGGCGCCCTGGGCTCCGTTGCCGTCGTCGTCGTCGAGGGCGCGTCGCGGCCCGGAGGACGACCACTGGGACGACGCGGCGACACCGCCGCCCAGGCACTCCAACGATGAGCAACCTGCGAGCCAAACAAAGAACAAAAAGAAACTCACTCCCAGGGTCGTTCGAGCAGCCCAAACTGCGGTGCCAGGAACGCGTCCCCGACTGGCGTGTTTAGCGTCCCATCTACATTAAAAGTGGTCCCGGTAACAACTCGCGTCCCAGATGCCGGCGTGTCACGTTGTCGGGGATGTCGCCATCCTGGCGGTTGGTCCTCGAGACCCGGCAACAGATGCGAGCGAACGCGAGTGTCGCTGTCGTCACGGAGTTTCAACTCCTGCAACTTCCAAAGCTTCTGTGAACTTTGAAGCTAGAGAGCGACCTGAGCAGAGCAGGCGTCTGCCGCGTCCACTTCCCTCTCTGTGACACCGCCAGGATCGCGGCCGGCAACAGCGTGACACACTGGGCTACTACGACAGCCAAACCCAAAAGCACAAAACTATTTGTACTTCAGGAAAGAGGGATAAGAATCGTGTGCGGCGTGTCCTATAATCATCATACTAAGAAACTTCTTGAGGTTGGGGTTTTTTAAATATGTTTAAATACTATGAATTTGGACTTTGTATATGCTATAAACAGGGATGCCGTGAGGCGAATAGTTTCTTATTCGAAACAAACCTATAACATACTCCACTCGTCACTCGGATCTCTGGGTAGTATTGAGGCACCACGCACAGATTACGGCCTTCGGACGAATGAAAGGACCTTGCCGATATTATTAGACACGCTTACGCGCTATAACTTTGATGTAAACTCTTGTAGCACAAGTAAGGTTAGGGAATATTTTTTTCATGAAAATAAACATTTTATACCATTGTTGATTATTCAGTTGACTTTTTTCATTCCGTTATTGTCTGCCAAGTATTTGCATTATATAATATCTTGCGCACGTTTTTCGCAACTGCCGCGTACCTGTAAGGGGTTGAGGATCAGTCAAGCTGCTTGTGCAGATTTTTTCCACAGCTCCCGCCATATTTATATGGTCAAATAAAAAAGCCATTTTTATAATTCTCGTTATTATTAGTTGAGGTCATGTTGGTAGGAATAAGAGGAGGCGACCTGCCGGCTCAAGCCAGCCAAAGGAGAAAATCATAAGTGAAGCCGGAAGCAGAGGTCGGTGGGAACATCCCCAAGGGTGCCCAAGTCCGTCCAATAGCGTCTTTCGGTTTGGGCCATCGATGGGGGCGCGTCCCTCCAAACCGAAAGTCTCCCCCGGCTTCAGCTCTGGTGGCGTCATGTCGCCTCCAGAAACTTCCTACCTCCACGGTCGCAGGGGTGAATGCTGATCCTTCTTCTCTACCATTTCCTGCGACTATCATGACGCGGGAATAAAAACTGGCGCGTGTTTCATAGGTTAGTTATCTAAGGAATTCAATCTAAGCGGTATTTTCTCAAAGGGGAAAAAAAGCGTTGCATCGTCTCATTGTGAGTTGCGTTATAGTGGGACCGACTGCTTGACGACCGCGTACGACCGCCCACTACTAGACGGTTCCCATGGTAACGGAGGTCCGCGCTACGCGTCGCAGTGGAACGCAAGCGGCTGTAACGCTGCCGGCGCCACGCAAGCGTCCGAAGCAGCCTTCCGGGCGACCCCCGCGTGAAGAGCGTCCCACTCGCAGCTCGTGAAAGCAGGTTGGGCACACGCTGCGACCTTCCGGGATGCACCCCCGCACGACGATCATCCCGGGAATACAAAGCACCGCCTAATGGAATCTAGACACGACCGCCAACAAGAGCTACCTCGTGCAAGGGCGAGAGACGCGCATTGCCAAGGTGCGAAACCTTTACATCGAAGCGAAACACACGGCCGCGGGAAGCCCCAGACGCGGCCAAGTCGCGACCAGAGCGCATTAGAGATCAGAGCGGGAAGCCCTTCCACTATGCGATCAGAATCGGATGCTGTCCTTGGTGGGGACTTTAAGGGCTTTTAGTACAGAACACGGCAGACGGCGCGTTTCGTCACCGCGCATCAAGCGTCTTCTAAATTCACGGCATATGCCGTACTCTGGCCCACTTTCGTACAGTCTTCTTGCCGGGGGAGGAAGCTTCCCTCCGCTTCCGTCCTTGGACAGATGCATGATTAGAGCGTGCTCATCACGTGGGTGCGGACACCCACGCACGCGCTCTGCTGACCGTCATCAATGCCTCCGCCGTACCTATCGGTCCCCAATCTCCCGAAAACAAGATAGGGGAAGAGGGGATGAGTTGGCGTGGTTGACGCCCAAACTGAAGACGCAACCAGTTTCTCGGCATGTGCCGATGTTGCGTCTCGGCAGTCCATCTGCTGTATCCGGTTTGGGGAGTCCCTTAGGCGTCCCAATTAATCGGGGGAGTATGTGGACTGACCGTATCCCCTGCCCGGGGTGGTGGCGGCGCTGTGGCTTCGCTGCTGCCGTAGAGCGTGCCGCTGGCAGCAGTTGCCTGGCAGCTGAGACTGCCAGATTTCCCGGTCCTCCCGGCGGTGCACGGCGATCTTAAAGCTCCGAGTGCGCTTGCCGCTCATCTGCACACACAAGCAGAGCACCCGGTCAGACACGTCATCCCTCCAGGATCGCTCATTCTGAGAACATGTCAAAGCACGGAGGGACCATCCTACGTACACAGCCCCTCAGTCACACTCCTCGTGCATCATACACTCGATGCAAACACGCAGTCGGACAATCATGATCCAAGCACTTCATACGAATCTATTGTCGGGGGAAAATGCAATGCGAACAGTGTGGCTCGCAGTACAGGCTGCGCCACCTGGAAGTGAGCCTAAGGGCGAGGGTGCGTGGCCGAAGCTTGGGGAGCGCCGAGCGAAGGGCGTAAACTAGGGTTGTGAGAATAAAGGTTCGAACCGAATAGCGCTGTCTCATTCATATCCTTGACAGTGCGTGAGAAAGCCAAGATGGCCCGTTTTTTTCAACATCGCAGAAGCTAGGGATGACGCTGCGCTATTCGATTCGAACCACTATTCGCACACCTCTAGCGTAAACACATCGGCGTAGGCCACGCACCCTCGCTCCTATAGGCTCACTTCCAGGCGGCGCAGCCTGTACCGCGAGCCACGCGCTCCTCTATTTGCATTGCATTTTCCCCCGATAGTAGGTACACTTCCAAAATGCCTAAAGGCAGTTTTGGATGAGGACCGTCATACAAGAAAGGAAAACGCCACGGAGAGCCTTTCGTATCATGAACGTAGAAGTCTGACTGCGCCTTGAAGAAACACTGAACTATCAAAACTACATTTTCAAAGTAGCTGGATATTGTGACACGCCTGATACAAAATAAACTGCCCCCCCCCCCCCCCCCCCCCCAGAAAAAAGATATAGCCCACTATTTATATCGCCAGATTCATATCGAGTTAGGAATGATAGTGAAATAAAATTCTATTTCGCGATTGACGTCCCAAAATAGCAGCATTTCCCAAATCGAGCCTATTGTTTTATATTTCTTTTTCGGGGAAAGTTCATTTTTTGTGACGTTACGTGCCCTATTGATTTTATTTTTTTATAGAGAAATTCCGCGAGCTATATCATTTATACACATTTTTTTTTTTAAATAGCCAGGCTTTACTCTTTCTGACACTAGTTATTACTTCTGAATTCAAAATGGCTATTGAAAAAAAAAATGTGTTGCTTTTATGTTCAGGGCGCTTGATGCCATCAGGCCTCAACGGGTGACCTGCCTCGTAGCTGTAGATAACGAGCTTAGCCGTTGCAGTACAACCGCTAACCCGGGATTCTTAACGTGCACCACGCAGTAGTGATTACACGAACGCGTGCGGCTACGAAACTCATCCACATCGAAACGGGCCCGGGGTGGGCATCGAACCCAGGAGGTGTTGCAGCGCAAGCTTTCGCTCCACGCGCCGAGCTGATACGCGTTAGCCCACTCGACCACCGATCGCCAGCATTTGCTCACGTGCGGTGCTGAGGCAACAGTCGGACAACTCTATCCGGAAATACGAGGAAAACGTGCTTCCGTCGAACCTGTCACATTGCGGCAACAACAACAGTCGGACACATGATGCTGTCGGCCGGCAACCGTGTTGGCCCGTTTGTTGTCCGACCGCCCTGTCACACCGCGTTGACGGCGGGGCTATGATAGCGGGGCCAACACGGGGAAACATTACGCCATCTTGATTGTTTACCTTCATTCGTGTGCGGCTAGGCATCGCTAGAAATGTAACTCTACAAAGGGTTAGTGCGTTCGAAGGGCCAGAAATTACCATGGGACGACATCAACCACTGACTGCGATTAGAAAACTTGACACGGGGAGTATTTCCCGCCCTTTATACAATCAAAATGGTGGTTATTCGCTGACAAAGCCGGTAGCACTAACCGAGGAAAAGGAGATCGTTGATATGTGTTCGGGATTTACGTCACCGTATGAAGTGTTTCTGTCCGGTTTTTCTTTCGTGCAATTCCTTTTTCTGGCGTAAAATTGAGTTAGCACCGGCAGTACCCCAAAGCGCCTTTTGTGGCGTGGTGTTGAGCTAAACTGACAGTACATAAAAACTGCTGCACCGACCCGATCGGCCTTCGTAACAATCGGTGGAATAAATATGTTTGAACACTGTCTATTCGCCCGCCTGCTATTTGATAGCGGCATTCCCCAAAACCTACTGGGGATTTTTGAAACAATACCGGTGTCTGGTAGCGGATGTTTCCAGGTTCCAAGCATCACCAATCATGATCAGAGCCGTCGTTTTAATGCTTAGATTTTTTAATCTTTACTTTCCTGGACTTATACTTTATCAGCGCGTGAGTAAGCGTGCCATTTTATTTCAGTAGCAGAAATGTGAGCTGGTCTCTCGGTAGCTCTAATTTCATCACCAATCTAAACGTTCATGACCGTAACTGTAACCATTTCGACAATCGCTTTCCGTAATCACGCAGTAAAAACATTCCTCAACTTATTTCAGCTGCACGCCAGCCTTAAAGGGTCACTGAAAAGAAGAAAAAAAGTTTTTGCGATCAGTTTAAGTGGGACACGGGTGTCAAACAAATAAATTTTACGCGAAAAAAATATTTAGAGTAATATTGATGGCACGAGATTTATTTTAAACTCTGCGCGTGAAGTCCATGACGTCACGGAATTGGCATTCGCTCTTTCCACCTTAACGTGAAGGCGAAGCCGATCCAGCTCTCCCCCACGCGCCCGAAATGCCGAGAGAAAACAAGTGGAAAGGGGGTGACTACTCAATCGCGTTTCGCGCCGTCAATTTTGCTCTAAAAAAATTAAAAAAAAAAAAACTTTTTTTTTTACATGAATTTTATTTTTCGACATTTGTGTCCCAACCAGACTATTAAATATTTTTTTTCCTTTTCAATGAAACTTTAATTATAGTTAAATAATGTTCTGTAAGCGTTTATTAGGCTCTTGAAAAATACTTTGACTGGGAACTAGCTCTGCCATCGAAACTATCTGTGATGTAGTGTTGCCGGCCCGAAGTTCGCTCAGCCAGCGATCGGAGCAACACACGTTGTCCAACACAAGTTGCTGCTGTTTTTGTTGCCAAAAGCTGTCATACCGAGGCAACAATTTCGTTGTCGTCCATGTTGCACTGCTGTTGCCGTGATGTGACAGGGTTGTTGGACAACACAGGAAGCGAGCAACAAGTTGCCCGTCTGCTAGACAACATGATATGTTCTTGTTGCCGTCGCGTTGCCTCAGTGTGACAGGGCCTTAAGAGAGCGTCCGAAACAACTAAAAAGTTTTATATGAATAAAATAAAAATGGAGCTCACGCTGTCTTATTAAAAGAATAAGAGAAACTTCCTTCCGTACAATAAAGGGACGATAAATATGTGAATGATACACTTTGGAACACGATCGGTATTTATCAAGAACATATTTCAGCACGCGAGGATTAGTAAAATGAGTTATCGAAAAGCCACAAGTGTTCACTCGCTGATTACGAGTAATGTTGTAGCTGATCACCGCTCGCTCGTCGCAAAAGACAACTCCTACGGTACGTCGAGACGCGTATACGTGCTGCAAGAAATGCACGCGGAGCGAGAGACTCGTTTATATATCGGATACATCATACTGTACTGTACACATCCTTGCATAACCACAACCCAAGACGCGGCACCGCGGGCTAGGAGGGTCGAAGGACTGACGGTGCGCGCCATTTGCACCTCGGACTGTTGACGAGTGAATGGAGAGAAACTCACGAGCGCCAAAGAACGGCCCGCACTCGGAGACGCCGAAACCAGTCGCCCGCTCAGGAGACGACGCCGACGACCACATGGACACCAGAACCGTCACTCGGCACAAGGGACACCGAGACACCGGCTCCACACAATCTTGAGACGAATACAGATGGCAGGCGTCCGAACTAGCCTCACCAGTCGGGATCCTTAGAGGAAGTCTGACAGGAGGTACCGGGACCGTGGGACGCACGCAGAGGACAGGAACCCGGGTCGACACCACGTCCACAGCGTCTTGAGAGTCTTCGGGAGACAGACGCCAGGCTTTCCAGCGAGCGTCACCAGTAGCAATGCGTGAGGACACGCTAGTAAGAGCGACAGAAATCGCGTCTCGACTGTCGCTCGGCTGCAGCACCACAACAAGAGCAGGTGACTCGCCGGGGCGCGGCTCTGATTGGATGCTGGGGTGGTGGGCCGATGTCCACGAGCTTCGGCGCTATTTGGTCGGTGGTCGGAGAAGAAATGCTCGGCTTGGATTGGATTCGTGTGCAAACTGAAAGAAGCGCTTTCAGGCGCGCGCAACACGCCGATATTCCGAGATCGCAGAGCGTCTGGAATCTGGAACGCGCAACTAGCACGTGCAAAACAAAACAATCAAACAAAAACGCTCCAAGTAAAAAAAAAAAAAAAAAAAAGAGTGGCAAGTATTGCGTGAAGGAAAGCGTTCGAGAGACGCTGCTTTCGAAGAAGCGTGTTCCTTGTCCCTCAATGTCCTTCTGTTTAGAGTAATGCCGTCCTTTGTAGTGTTTAGGAAGCCTTTGTGCGCTCTTTGTTTAGGGTGATGACATTGTGGAACGGTTGCTAGAAACAGCATGTCGGCTGAGGCTGGGTGAAAGAAAGCATTGCCAAAGCAAGCGCACGAGCTGAGCGGAACTCAAACCGCGTCTCAAGACGCTCGCGCGCCCCAGCCTTTGCAGTGCTTTCTTTCACCCAGTCTCAGGCTGAGTTGAGACGCTGCTCTAGCAAGCCGGCCCTGATCATTTGGGTCCGGATTCTTTTGTCCGCGATTTAGATGAAAGCTCCATGTTTCGCGATTTTGGTCAAAGCTGAAATTTTGGAATATTTCGCGGGTTCCAATTTTCGCGACACGGTGGGATCTTTGTTTACATTTTCCAGAATTGTTCGCGGGACCGATTAGCGAAATTCGCAAAAATTAGGTCCTCGCGAAAATTAAGTCGTTTACAGTATATACGTTCCCAAACTGCCCCCCCCCCCCCCCCCCACACACACACACAAACACAAACGCACACACACACACACACCTAACTACCTTTTTCCCCTCCGCGAAAAGAAGTGCTACCAG